GTGTCACACTAATCGCAATGACCTAAAAGTGTTGATAAAGGCAACTGATTAATTCTATGAAACATTTATGCATACCAAATTTAGACTCAAACACAGGGTTTTCGACTGTCAATAAAAACTTTTGGTCGTTATAATATTCCAGTTTATCACTCATAGTTTAAAAATTAAATACCAAAAAATTTTACAGTACAATTTATTTTTTAAAGCAGTGTGTTAGAAAGACTTTTATGACTGTTCACTAGAAAAAGCAAAACAAAAAAAAAAGAAAGTGATTCAGATACAACAGTTGATAGAAAATGCTAAAAGTCTTATATCTTACTTTATGCGTTATTTAAGAAATATCATGAGCTACAAATTTACAGCTTAATATATCTAATACTAAAACAATTTAAAAACCATAAAACATTCCACAGAAAGTATGTTTTAAAAAGTATAGTGTATTAAATTTTGAAGTAATAACAGTGACCAAAGCTAACAGTAAAACTTACATTTGTAAAAAACTCACTCACCTTAATTTTGTCAGAAAATTTGCATATCGTTAGATCTTCATTTGTTGATGTACTTTACAAACAAACTCTTATAATGTACTTGTATAATAGCCTAGTCTATAAAAAGTGTCTCAATTTAAATGACTGTTTTTTGACTTATTAATTTTTAAGAATTTTAGAAGAATTGATATTTTATAATGCATAAAAAAAAGGCTGGCAGGAAGTCTATTGTATACTTCCTTTTTTCTGATTATTTTTTTTCATAATATTGAAATACAATTTTAGAGGTGTTACTATTTAGCGATAAAAGCTGTGCATAGGTGTCGTTATAGTCTTTTTGAAAGTCAGTCAGCTATTTGTTAAGGAGCTTTTTTTCGCTCAACGAAATAAGTTACAGTGCTTAAAAAACGAAAACAAATCAGCCGAAAACAAATGCCACAGAAAAAAAATCTGTTTTTTGAGGTAAAGCTCAAGGTCGTGATGTGGGTTGAGTACTTGAAATCTTACGTCAAACAATTGTTCGACATCTGCACATAATTTTGCATGCGAAACAAATTCAGAAACTGGGTAATTACACCTACAAATGCTCTTTTAAGTATAAGTTTGTCTCCCACTGTTTTCTGCTAAACTTCTTGAAATTACTTCTTTTGAAAATTATAAATTGTTTACTGGTGTTAAAAGATTTTGTAATTTAGATTACGCAGATTGTTCAAGACACTTTTTCGGCTTATAATAATAGCCAAATTTTGTAGCTATCACAGTGTTAACATTTGTGCTTTAAAAGTAACAGCTAACAAACTGATAACACAATGATTTTTGGTATTGAAATCAACGTCTCAACATGATAACTTTATTCGTGCTAATCAATATTCGTAAACAGAAAATAAAATAACCAATATCATTAGTAATCGCCCTAAATCTGTTTGTTTTGCTCTATAATTATCGGTTATTTCAATCGCACCGTTACCATATTGAATATTTTGTTGCATGTACCAAATGAAAAAGTATCTTATATCTGCATTTAAGACTGTGTTCTGATTTACATGCAAATAAAATTCGGTTTTTCGTAGCTGTTCGTCTAATATTCAGTGGAACAGTAATTTGAATCCAGGATTTACAGTAATGAAAGATAAGCCGCACAAATACGGGTACAAAAGGTGTTTAAAAGCAGAGCAGTTTTTAGATAATTCAATCGGGTGTATGAATTCGTGTAAATACAGTTTGTATCATAGATCTGTTCAGTTCTTACCGTGTAGTAAAACAACTATATTCAAACGAAAAAAAAAATTTGTTTATTGGTCTCAAAATTATGCAGATGCTGCAGAAGGCTTTCACTTTTTAATTTGTCCTCAGTTGGCATTTACTATTTTCAGTACTTAGTATAGCACTGGTTTTAACCAGGCAGCATGTCCTTTCATAAAAATAAGTTTTATTTTTTATGACAAAAATTCTCCCAAAGTTCCCTAAATATTAAATAAGCAGAAAAAGTTTTAATGAAAAGCTTTTTTTTGCACACTATTTATAAAAAAGTGTTTTTTTTTGGAAGAGAAATTTCGAAAAGTAGTAGCCAAAAACAAGGATAAACTTTAGTTTGTTGGTTATAACTCAAAATTTTGCTAGAGAAAAACATATTGAACTTTTAAGGTAGCAAAACTGTCACATCAACAAAGAAAAAAAAGTTGTTTGCAATGACTGAAGAAAATTATCGGGACATTATAAAAAGCCCAAAATAGAAGCAAAAGAAAATTCTTTTGTAAATTTTTTAAAAGTTCAAGCCACAAAATAATCTTTATCTTAGCAGTGATAATCTTTCGAAAAAAAAAATGAAGAGCGTGAAAACGCCGGTGATTGTTTTGGTTTTTTTGATTAAAGCAGCACTTGTGGAATAAAAAGTGTAGAAAAAAACCAATTTTTTAAATTGTTTAAGCTGTTCATTTTTTTCGCTTTAAACTCTCCTTCTTATCAACTGTCAAACTACAAAAGAATTTTTTAGACAGACAGAAACTACTAGCCAAGTATAAATAGATTTCAGCAGTAGTGACATTAACTACGAGCTGAGGTGCAAAAGATTTATGGAAAAGTACCGTCAGCTTTTGAAGCTCAGCGAAACAACCACCAATTCATCAAAGCGCAGATCTCAGACGCAAATTACCCTTTACCATCACAGCTGCCAATGCCTCTGACCCGATGAGGTCCTGAACCAGGAACTACACCCGTTACAGTGTGCAGCACTTTACCACTTTGGCCACACGTACCCCACTATAGTCTTGCTGACAAACAGCTCATCCCTTAGCAGTTGCTTCCAGTTGGTAAAGGTGAAGGCACATTGATGGGCTCTATCAGTCTGCAGCACAAAGCAGCAAAATATCGAATCGATAACTATGCTAAATACATAGAGTAAGAGACGCAGCACAAATAACCATAGTTAACAAAGGTTGTGATTTTTGAATTGATATTTTTTCTGATGATTAGAATATTCTTAATTTCATAGCCATTCAGGCACTTCAAAACGTCGCATCTTCACGTTTCTACCCGCATGGTTTAACATGAGCCGCGTCAACAAGAAGAACTAACATTAGCAACAAGAAAAGATATGCGCATGTGGACTCCGTGGCCCAACGGTAGCGCGTGTGACTCCAGATCAGAAGGTTGCGTGTTCAAATCACGTCGGGGTCAACAACACTTTTCCCATCTTATAACGTTTAATTTGTCTTTGTCAGCTCAAAACCATAGCTCCCCAACAAATTAGACCCTGAACTAAATCGCTCCATGTTCAGAAAGAGCTTTTTTTTCTAGAGCGACTCATGCTTCCCTTATTTTAAATAACCCAAGCATTGCAATTTCAGTCTTACAAAAAGACTGCCAAAAAACTAACCAACAAGAAAATTTTATTCTTTAACTATCACAGTTAACACGTATTAATGGTAAATTGTAATGAGAGTTTAAATATATAACACTGGTGGTGATTCTTTATGAAGACAAGAGTTTGAAGTGCTTGCCTGTATATTTAAAAACAAATTTGAGAATAAGACGATGACTGGCTGTGTTGGAACTTTCAATAAGTGTTATGCGTTGAGCATTACTGTGCTGTGTACTCCTGTGAAATTCAGATCTTCAAAAATTAAGATCTTCTGTAATTCGTGGAATTTACCACGGAGTTTCCAAAAAAAAAAGTTCAAAGAAACACACATTCTGTACATCAAAGAAGTAACAAAAACAAATTATTAAGGTATTATGAAACCACTTGAGTTTCACGCTCTTCTGCACCACTTCTGAGTTTTGTAAGGATCCTGCATAATTTCAAGATCACGTACCGTTATTACCTAAAAATTTCGCTTTTTGTTAAGCCACAATCTTCTCCACTGAGTACACCAAAAATCTTCCGCAGTTTTAAATACAGAAGGCAGCTAGTTACTCTAATCTAAAGCTAAAGTCATTAAAATAATAAATATTTAGCTTCTAATCCAAACCTGTGATTCTACAGTTACTGCATCCGTACGTAGTTCATCAGCTATTCGTGATTCCAGTTTTACAGCTGGTTCAAATTCCTGTTCCAGTTCGTTCGAGTCCTGAATTGGAAAAATTGGTTGGAAATGTTCAAAGAAATATATTTGCCAAGAATTCCTCAATAATTTAAGTAATTGGAACATGCTAAATGCCGTATATTTTTAATAAGACAGAGAAGTTTTCCAAAGGTTAAAATTGCATACAAACGCTATTTTTTTAAAATTTTTGTTCCAGAACGTTTCCAAAATCACAGCAATTTTAACCTTTTAAACCAAATTTCAATAAGAATTGACCAAAACACATACTTTTTTCTCTTCTTGGTTTTGTACCAGTATGCTACCAAAATCATTTGCAGACTGAAAGGGGTCGTCGCCGTTTATCGTAAAATTGTTTGCTGATGCAAAATGACTGTTACTGATGTCTTCTTTAAAAATCTTTTGCTTTGGTAGAATAGTGAGCTTTCGGGAGTCTTTGGAGGTCGCTGTTATCTGCTTTGGTGGTGCAGCATGCTCTGGTTCGTTAAATTCGATCTCTGGTTCCCTATTCTCCAAGGTTTTAGCTTTTAAAGTAGAGGGTGCTGTTGGCTGTAAGACCTCAACATTTAACTGACGATTATTGACAGTAGACTTCTGAGTCACCAAATCTATTTTTATTTGAGTAGTATCGTCTAACTGTTTAGCCACCTTCTCACGAACTACAGGCTTTTCGAGTGCAGCAGGTTCCAGAAGCTGCTTAGCAGTCACAGTAACTTTCTGCTTGAATTTCTAAAAATATGAGTATTTTCTATTTTTCAGAAAAACATAAACTTTTCAAATATTATACAGGAAAATACAAGAATCAGCAGTAAATTTTTGCAGTAGCAAAAAAAAAACAAAGTTATATACCTCGCTCCTACTGCTTGGGGTTTCTCCAGCGCCTATAATCGCAACATCTTGAGTATTCAGCTTGACATCCAAGCCACCAGACGGAAACTGAGCTAACTGCGGTGGTATGCTTACTTTCCTAATGTAAACAATTTTTTACAAAAAAGAAGTAAACTTATTTGAGAATACATAAATTACTGTATTTTAGTAGAGGTATTTTCATTTATTATTACGCAATAGTTTTTGGTAACAAGTCGTGTAATTTGATAAAGCAATCAATAATTTCTTGATAGTTCAGACCTTAAAAAAAAGAATAGAGAAAACAGTTTGTTTAGTTTTTTGTTTCTCGCTTTCATGTCAGAAATATTAGTTAAGAAAAGTGCTACAAATCTTTCTTCAGATCTTAAACTTTCCAAAATTGTTATTTATAAAGTTGGAAATCTAAGCTTAAAAATTTTTTCTAACCTAACAGAAGACGGCTTTAAAAAAGCGCTTAATTTAAACGTAAATTAGAGCTATTAATTGAAAGATTGTACGAGAAACTGCCAAGTCCTACAAAAATTATATTACTTGCTTGAAGTTAAAGGTTTTATTATTGGCTGAACAAATGCCCCAGTCGTTATAACGTCTGAATGTACAGTTGGCTCTGGATCAAGTGGGAAAAGCTGGGTGTTTTCTGTGCTAGCCGTTGACTCGGTGTGAGCTTCCGACGGCGTTGAAACTTTTTGTTGCAGTGAAGCTGGATACAAAATATAATGGTTAACTACACAACTCAATATTCTTTAATAAACTATTATCTGGTATAGTTTTAAAAAATTCTGCATTTTGTAAATGACTTTAAATGTTACCTTGCCATTCCGAACTTGCTGGTAAAAAGGTAACAATTGGAATTGCAGTGGCTGGGACAGTCTCACTACTTACATCATAGTCGGCATCGTCGAACGTATCAAATGGCCTAACATCAATTGGAAAGCCAGCCTAAAAATTATGACTATTAATTTAATATAGACAAGTAAATGATTGCTGTATTATTTGTTTGATCATTGATGCTTGATTATATTTATTTAATTTAAAAAAGCGCAATTCTACAAACTTCCAGTTTTATTTTAGCACAAATAACAGTAAGGATAAACTTTGAAAAAAAACTACTAAATGACTAGCTTTTATTTCAATAGTTTATAAAATCTATTAAATAAGTTTCAAATTGTTGAATATTTAAATTTACCTGTTTTTTAGCTCGTAGTAAGTCGCTGTTACTAGTTGCAGTTTCTTCAAGACCGGTAGATTTCCGTTTTTTATTGCATTTTGGTGGCTAAACAAATTATTTTTACCACATTAGTGCTTCACATTTGGAAATTTATTGTTTAGCTGACTTGTCTATTCATTCAAAAATTTAATTATAACTTATTGTTCTCAATTATATAAATGTGCGAAGAAAAATGAAAAAACTTAAATATAAGTTCTTAAGATAAAATAAATAGCTCAAGAAAAATAAACTTGGTTATTGTTTTGAAAGATCTATCTAAAAAACATTCAAAAGCAAATAGTCACCAGAATAGCATCACACTCTCCAAGTAAACGATCACAGAATCTTAGATGACATTGATACTGAATTAATGAACTGTCTGGAAATTTGACTGATTTACCCACAGCAAAAGCAGTTAACGGCTCGACATATTCCGGTGAATCCATGACAGCAGGATCAATTGAACACCTAAGCAGCGCTTATAATTAAAGCAAAAAATAAAAATTTTTTAACAATTTGTCCAGAAAAAACTTTTACAATAGAAACTGTTATTAAGTACAGACTGTTATGGCTAAAAATAAAAAAATTGCAAATGTAGGGCGAATAAACGTTGTTTACTTACCCGTTTTCATCAACAAGCGTTTTATTCTCCCCACTAATAACGTTGATTATTATACAGCTGTGAATGAGCATTGACTGATATGTGTCAAAAACACCTAAAATAATTTGATGGTTATCGGCTCAAACAAAACTGAACGACCACTAAATCAAGTTGAATAGCCTACTCTTATCACATTCCCAGGAATGAATGACTGTCTCTCCGACTCGAGTGTCTTCTATCCGGCACTGGTCTGAGTTTCTTGAACTAATTTTATACGAACAGGGCATTCTTATCGAGTGGTTACTGTAATAAAAAAGATGAGTTATCAGATGACAAATTTTTGCGATCTAAAACTTAAGTTTTTGAAATGAAAATGTAATATTTTTGTTCTAGAACTTTTAAATTTTGACGCTTTTCCAAAGCGTTAAGCTGAAATAAATTTTTACTGTATGACATTCTTCTGCAACTGCTTCAGTTGTTTCCTGTCTTTTTTCTTTTTTCACTATCCCCTTCCCGCTTTCTGTAAATTTGTTTACCTAATAAAGTTTTTGTAGAGTTCTTCTTTAGAATTTATTGCGTTTTTATGAATACTATAAAATTCTCTGTATATTGCAGCAAAAGTACCTGTCACTGATTGCAACTCTGTTGTCGGCAAGCTTTTGCGGTAGCTTTGTTGCCTTTTCCGGATAGAAGCATTGCACATTGAACACTTTATCTTTGTCAGTGTTGTAAAATGGGTGGAATTTGAGAACAACAATAGTTTCAAACATTGCACCTTTTGAGTTGATCTAAGAACGAAATACTTGTTTTGCCAATTTTTTAAAACTCTGTAACCCTATTTGAAGATCTACCAGTACGCTTGCAAAAAATTATTCTATAGTTTTCTAACCATAAATATCAAATATTGAAGTCAGAGAAGCAAAATAGCTAGTTAGAAAAACAAACTATAGCGCTAAGGCTTTCAGAAAACAAACCATCGATTGTTTTTGAATGTTGCACGAGGTCAAACTAAGAGGGAGGTAAACTTCAGTTGAGAGGTTTTCAGCTTTGGCGACACATTCGGAGTGAGTAAACTGATTAGCAACGTAAAGATGACCATAAAATGGATTCACCGTTGATACTCGAATGTCTATCGAATCACTATTGCAGATAATTTCAGCACCATGAGCTCCTGCATTTTATCCATTTCTTGATCTCTAATCAAGCAGGAGTTTGAGTCAAAAACAAAAATAAAATCTCCTATGTAAGACGATAGCGTAAAAACAATTTTTTACCTCTAGCAAATTTACACAGCTCTCCAACAGCAATTTTTTTGAACTGATTGACAAATTGATCTAGAGAATTCTGTGATGTCAAATTTTGGAAAGCTAAGCTTTCATCTCCAGTAATATCAAAGAGTTCGCCCATGTTTATATGAGCACCGATACCCAATGTTAAGATTTGAACACCTGTAATAGTAAAGCTACAGTATATAAAGAAAAAATGATTTACCACAGAAATTGAAAATTTCATTGGCTTAATGTGATTTGTCTACAAAAAATTCAAAAAAAGCAAATTTCAAATTACCATAGGGAAACAATCAGACACCTTAATTTGATCTTACCTGCTTGCCGTAGTCTCTGAGCTGCAGGCACTGGGTCATCGTGTGAGTGACCATCTGTAACAACGACCGCTACCTGTAATCTACTGTCGATAAAAGAAAAATTCTATTCTATTATCTATCACTATCTAAAACCACAACTACATCGTGTTACTTCGATCATAAATCATTGACTTTTATCAAACCTGAGCAACGTCCTCTTGATCTCTGCGAGCTCCAGATGATGTGTCATGTTTAAACAGGTGTAATGCCTTATCCAAAGCTTTACCGGTTTTTGTTGTTCCAGAAAGATGTCGAATTTTACCCAAAGCATTTTTTAAATTATCCTTTGTCTGCAATGAAAGTGCTTCGGCGATTTCAAAAGCAGTTAAGAAAGCTGTGATTGGAAGTAGATGAATAAGTCGTTTAGCTGACAGTATTGGTAGAAATTAACCTGATGCGTTGAAAAACCAAATTCAACTCTTGTGTACGAGGAATATTGCATAACAGCAATCTGAGTCTTCTCTGTTCCGATGTCAACCATTTCTACAATTCTAAAAAAGAAAAGAAAACCGATTTGATCTTAACTGCAAAGTCACATAAAAATGTGAGTATTCAACACGCCAACTACTTATCTTAACATATTGTTCATACCTGTTAAGCATTTGCATTTGTGTTGAAAAGGTGCTACCACTAACGCTGCCGGAACCATCCAAAACGAATAACAGATCTAATTGCCTATCTATCGGCCGACAAACTGCAAAAAAAAAAAAAAAAGAAAAGCTTTTTTAGACAGTTCTTAAGCTGCTATTTTTGAAAATCTAAATGCGTTAAACTTTCTTCTCAAGACTGTCAGCAAAAAGTAACAAAGTACCAAACAGTTTAAATTATCTAGCAAAGTTGCCTTCTGTGCTACAATTTCATTTCTGAAACCGTTTTATAAATTTCTAGAAAGCGTCATTAATGTTAGGAAAACTGCTTAGTTTTTGGCTGATGTTTATGTAAAAATCCTTATCATTCGCTTACCTTTAGCAAGATCATTATCTTCGTAATCAACCCCGTATGTGCCCGATAATATCAGCCCGAAGATGTATAGCAGCAACATCCTTAAAATCCACTATAATTAATTCAAAATAGATGTTAAATTAGCTCATTGTTAAATACACACAAGACATTTTTGTACCAACTTTTTTTTTTACCAACAGTTATGGATTGATGAAGAGCGAAAAAATTGTTCAAAAAATAAATTTGCTTAAATTTGGAGCACAGCAGTGAAATCTTGGTCAGTTTTGAAACCTTATGTAAGATCATAGTAAATTTCATATTTCGGTCATTGAAACAAAAAGGGAAACTGGAACACAAAATAAGACGCTTACTTTTACTTTCTTTTTTCATCAATCAATCTTTGTAGTAAAAAAAACGGCAGTATGCGAGATGAGCTAAGTCTGTACCGGAAAAGTGCTTAGCAATTTTAACTGCGTATAAAACATATAAGACAGCTACATATCTACACCTAAGTTTTTTTAATAGCAAACATCGTAATTGTCTCTTAAAACGCTTAGTCTTTCTCATATCAACTTTTCCGAGATAACAGTAATATGTAATTGAGAATGATTTGAACTTTAAATGAGGCACATTAGCAGCACTGTCAAAGCATTTGGATAACGAGATGACTGGAGGAAGAAAGGTAGTGTAGGCTGTACAAAAACTGTTGCTCATCTAATCATAAATTTCGTCAATCTTCTTATATTTTATAAATAATTAAAAAGATCGATAAAGAAGACACTGATATTAACAATG